TGCTGACCTCTCATCCGGACGGATATCAGGTTTCCGTCGATGCCCCTCTTGGCTCTTCGGACCATTGTACCATTCGGAGTGTGGTGCCACTCACGCTCCCCTCGCGGTTGCGTTCTGCAGGTTGCCGCCGTGTTTGGCATTACAGGTCGGCGGATTGGGACGGAATGCGGTCTTTCTTTGCTTCCTACCCATGGGGGCGGGTTTGCTTCTCGCCGGATGATCCCAGCGCTGTTGCTGACTCTGTCACTGATGTAGTGCTACAGGGAATGGAACTATTTATTCCATCATCTGTGGTACCCATCGGAGGCAGATCTCAGCCTTGGTTTGGTCGCTCCTGTAAGACTGCATTACGCAGTAAGCAGGAGTGTTATCAAGCCTGGGCTGCGGCTTCGGTGACTCGGGATGTAAACACCAGCACACTCAAAAAGAAGTATAACTTTGCCTCCAGGTACTTCAAAAGAGTTATTGCCAAGGCAAAGTCAGAGCACATAGGCAGAATTGGCGAGAAACTAGTTCGCCTTCCTTCGGGAACCCGTGCATTCTGGTCTCTCGCCAAGGCTGTCCAAGGGAATTTCTGTAAGCCTTCACTACCATCTCTGCACAGGGAGGACGACTCACTGGCCCACGACGCAAAAGAGAAGGCCGACCTTTTAGGCTCCCTTTTTGCGTCCAACTCGACTGTTGATGACGGGGGGAACACACCGCCGACCATCCCGCGGTGTGAGTGCTCCATGCCGGATGTGCGATTCTCACAGCACTCGGTTCGCAGAGCACTCCTCTCCCTTGACATCCACAAGTCGAGTGGGCCTAACGGAATCCCCCCAATTGTGCTGAAGACGTGTGCTCCGGAGTTGGCACCGGTTCTAACGCGTCTTTTCCGGTACTCCTACTCCCTAGGCGTAGTCCCGAAATCATGGAAGACAGCTTTTGTCCACCCGATCCCTAAAAAAGGCGACCGCTCAGATCCGTCCAACTACAGGCCTATCGCCATCACCCCCTTGTTCTCCAAAATAATGGAATCCGTTGTAAACTGCCACCTCATGCGGTACCTTGAGGATCACCAGCTGATTAGTGACCGCCAGTACGGTTTTCGTCGGGGTCGATCAGCTGGTGATCTTCTGGTCTACTTAACTCATAGATGGGCGTTGGCAGTAGAGTCCAAGGGGGAGGCATTGGCCGTTAGTTTGGACATTGCGAAGGCCTTCGATCGGGTTTGGCACAAAGCGCTTCTTTCGAAGCTCCCTTCCTATGGGCTTCCCGAGAAATTGTGCAATTGGATCACCAGCTTTCTTGCAGATCGGAGCATCAAGGTCGTTGTAGACGGTGCATGCTCCGACTACAAGCCTATTAACGCTGGTGTTCCACAAGGCTGCGTGCTATCACCAACGCTGTTTCTTCTGCATATCAATGATATGTTGCAAGCTGGTAGCATTCATTGCTATGCAGATGACAGCACTGGTGATGCTCTATACACCGGCCGTGCCAATATTTCTCGGGAAAACGTCACCGAGTACCGGAACAAACTTGTGTCTGAAGTCGAGTCTTTGCTGGACAAAGTCTCGGATTGGGGGCGACTAAATCTAGTCCAGTTTAATCCTCAGAAGACACAAGTTTGCGCGTTTACCGCTAAAAAGAACCCCTTTGTCGTATCTCCTCAGTTTCAAGGTACTCCCCTTGTTGCCTCAGCCAGTATCGGAATCCTCGGCGTCGACATATCGAGTAGCGTGCAGTTTCGTGGTCACTTGGAAGAGAAGGCCAAATTGGCCTCTAAAAAGCTTGGCGTGCTCAGCAGAGCGGGACAGTATTTCATGCCGGCTCAACGCCTGCAACTTTACAAGGCGCAGGTTCGGCCTCACATGGAATACTGTTCCCATCTCTGGGCTGGGGCTCCCCAGTGCCAGCTTCTTCCACTTGACCGCATCCAGCGCAGAGCGGCTCGAATCGTCGACGACCGAGTCCTTTCCGATCGGCTCGACTCATTGGCACTGCGAAGAGATGTTGCATCTCTTAGCATTTTCTTTCGCATTTACCATGGGGAGTGCTCTGAGGAATTGTTCGGATTAATCCCAGCCGCCAAATTTCACGAACGCACGTCGCGGCAGAACTCCCGATACCATCCACACCATCTGGATGATTGGCGGTCCACCACTGTGCGATTTAGAAGATGTTTTCTTCCTCGCACAACTTCCTTGTGGAATAATTTACCACCAGCGATTTTTCCGGACCGATACGACTTAGGGACCTTCAAGAAAAGAGCCTACTCCTTTTTAAAAGGCCGGCAACGCATCTGCAATTCCCCTGGTGTTGCGGTTGTTCATGGGCGGCGGTAGTCACTTACCATCAGGTGAGCCGCATGCTCGTTTGCCCCCTCTCCTATAAAAAAAAAAGAAAAAAAAAAGCTATTTACAATCGAAAACCGAGAGAGTCTCTTAGAGATAAATTTAAAGAAATTAATATATTAACTTTGGCCTCTCAGTATATTTACGAAAATTTAATGTATGTTCACAAAAACAAAGATAGTTTTAGTAAAAAAAGTGATATACATTCTGTAAACACTAGGAACAAACAAAAGCTAGTGATGCCAGTTTCTCGACTCCACAGAGTCAGTAATTCATTCTTGGGGCAATGTATACGCTATTACAACAAGGTCCCGGAAAGTGTACAGGTTCTCTCTATTACCAAGTTTAAATGTTTTATTAAGCTGAAACTGTATAAAAAAAGGGTTATTATAGTATAAATGAATACATGGTTGATAATAACCCCTGGGAATGAGGTGGTCGCTTCCAAGCAGTTTCTAAAATAAATTTTGTAAATAGTTCGTAATCATTTATATTGTAAAATTTATTTTAAAAAAATGGTATTTTTTTTCGAACCAGTGGTAAAGTAAAAAATGACTTTCAATAAGAATTACACATGTAATGTATATTGAATAAAAATTATTCTATTCTATTCTTTCATATCCTATAAAAAATATCAAACTTTATATTTTGTGAAATGTTTTAAATTGCATTATTGTATTTTAAAATAAAAAAAAAACATGCGTGAGTGTCGTGGAACACTCGGTTGGAACGAAGTTCCTTTCATAGTATATTATTATTGATAAACGTATTATATTATTGATTGACAAATATAAATTAATTAATTATTAGCGTCTATTAAAATGATGCGTCATTTAAAATAAAATACACTATGACAAAAGGGGTACCTAGTGACGAAAAAATCTTACACTTTATCGCCTAGCTCCCATCCGCCAACCCGTATACTGTCCGATAAGGAACTTCGTTCCAAAAATTGTTTTATAAATAAAACCATTTTTTGAACGAATTAATAATAAATATAATATTAATAATAATAATATTATTAAAATACTAAAAAATTAAATTAGTATTGGTTTAGTATAATATTAAAGCGAGTATTTCTTGGAAATACATTGGAAAAAAATATTGGAATAAGTTTGCTTTTACTAAAATTTCACGCGAGCACAGCTGGATTAGTTGGCTGAAGTGGCAATGGGTCGGCCATATATATCTCGAAGAATCGACCAATAGGGAAGAAAGGTTCTCGAATGACAGCCTCAAACCGGTATACAGATAATTAAAATTTTTCATAGTCTCATAACTTCTGCGGTTTTCGGATTTTAAGATACTTAAATTTGTTTTCTTTAATGTTTTGACGCCAGGTCTTGCGAGAACCACGGAATAATTTGGGATATTGGTCTCTCTTATGCCGCCAAGAAATCCACTACCCCATATCGTCCCGTGGGTGTCGTATGAGGCGACAGAGGGAAATTGAAACAGGAGATGGGCAGCAGCATCTTCCTGATAACAATTCGAAATAATGAAAAACCGGCCAAGTGCGAGTCGGACTCGCGCATGAAGGGTTTCGTATCATCATAGGTTTCTAGTCCCTACTAGAAACCTGTGATGGTACGAAAAATTAAAGGGTGCTCCCCTGAGCACCCTTTAATTTTTAATTTATGTATTGTTATTTTTATTGCTATTTTGTTGTTATAACGGCAACAGAAATACACATTCTGTGAAAATTTCAACTATCTACCTATTACAGATCATGAGATACAGCCCGCTGACAGACAGACGGACGGACAGCGAAATCTTAGTAATAGGGTCCCGTTGGTTAACCTTTGGGTACGGAACCCTAAAAGCTACGGTTGATGACCTGTTCGCCAAGCGTGTCAATTATGGCGAAATCCCCCCCTATGAGGTAATCTACGCGGGAGGCCTATGTTCAGCAGTGGACTTTTATAGGCTGTAATGGATGTAATGAATGGATGCCACTTCTACACGTCGAACTTTGTACTTTATCAGTTTAAATATATATTACTATTTCAGTAGGAAAAGTGGTGCAATTTAAAAAAATTTAATTAAGACCCAAATAACTTAAGTTTTAAACCAATTTACCCGGCTTTCAAACAATCAAAGAAAAAGATTCTACGCGAAAGAAGCCGTAAGAACAACTAGTATATAAAAGCTACAGCACTATTTCAGTTTAAAAAAAAATTGCCGTCGTTTATTGCCATTTCTACATATTTCGGTAGAAGAATTTCGTTTCGACAGCCATATTGTATTGAAAATTTGCAATAAATATGGTTGATTTGTGTCATAACTTCCTGTGCATACGCTAGGAAGTGTAAATATGTGAACTTGTTTACTATCACTCTGTGCCTATGCTATCTATATAGACAACATAGACACAGAGTATAGATAGCATAGACACAGAGCGATAGTAAGTAGTAATTGTTCTAAAATAGCAAAAATGTCAGATAAGTAAGGTTTATTTAAACGAATTAATTTTGGTTTATTAAATTAATTACCGTATATGCGTAAGTATATTATGCAGAGGAGAAACAATTGATTGTACATAAACTTATGCACAACTAATATGATCTTTTTATTTTAAAATTAGAAAAGAGTAAACGTTCAAATTAAAAATTCTTAAAAATTTCGTTGGGAATCTCTCTCCAGTGGTAACCACCAGTCGAGTCATCTCCAGATTCTGCAGGTGTTGTCCTTGGACGCGGTGACGACGGTGTCACCGGCGTATGAGAACGCGCACGAGAATATCTCGCCCTGGTGACCGGACAGCACCTAGGGGTTATGGAAATTATATATATTGTTTATGATAGAGGGAATGACACAATATACGGTTCTAAATTTTCATAGTCTTGTCTGTGAATGTAGTCAACATACCTAACATTCGAGCACACAGTCTACCTGACGGTAAGTGGATGGGGAGGCTCATACACATCTACATCTATCCTCAATTCCTCGATTAAGAATCCTCAATTGTTACGCCTGAGGACTAAATTAGAATACCATGTTCACTTATTATAAGCCAGTACTTGACCATAATCCCACCTGGTGGTAAATGGTAATGGAGTCCTAGATGATAAATAGCACTATCTTAGCGTAACAAAAGCCTATTTATTTACTACTAGCTGTTCCCCGCGACTTCGCTCGCGTGTTAGGGTTTTTATGTTTCTGCGCGGAACCCTAATTCTTTTTCTAAAATAAAAGTAGCCTAAGTTACTCCTTATGAAATCAGCTACCTGTCAGTGAAAGTCCCGTCACAATCGGTCCATCCGTTTCGAAGATTAGCCGGAACAAACAGACAGACAGACAGACAAAAATTTTAATAATTGTGTTTTTGTTATAAGTACCGTATATACTTTCATATGCAATTAGTAAAAACCTGTCATTTTGACATTACAAACAGACACTTCAATTTTATTTATTTGTATAGACTAGCTGTTCCCCGCGACTTCGCCCACGTGGAACTTGGATTTCATGGGATTTAATTTTTTTGCGCGGAATCCTAATTATTTTCTAAAATGAAAGTAGTCTAACTTACTTCTTAAATCATCAGCTATCTGCCAGTGAAAATCCCGTCAAAATCGGACCAGCCGTTTCGGAAATTATTCGGAACAAACAGACAGACAGACAGACAGACCGACAGACAAACAAGAATTTAAAAAAATGTGTTTATGTAATTAGTGCGGTATATACCTTCATATGCATTTAGTAAAAAACTGTTATTTTAACATTACAAACAGACAACTCAATTTTATTTATCTGTATAGATTGCCGTCTCTTTCAACGCTGGACAACGTCTTCATTATTACCGCCGAGAATCCTGGTTAGACCTCCCTCTCACTGCAATCAAGACAACATTAGCCATCGAAATCTCTGATTAGTCTTGTGGGTCTGCTTAACTGGCAGTGAGAGAGCCCCATCACCTAACCTTGACATCCTGTCTCTGTTCGTCTGTTAGTACGTGGTAGAGCCATGCTGCAGCTATCTTAGTTGTATAGTTGTAGCACGAATGGGTCGGCTCGATCAGGGTAGGACCACGCTCTCATAGAATACCAGCGTAAAATAGCAGCTTAATACTGCTGTGTTTCGTATGGTCAGTTCAGAGAACCGGAGACCTCCCTTTTTACTGGAAACAAGGCATTCCATTTTAGTCGTCAAGAGTGACAACGCATCTGCATCTTGATTCGTAATTGAGGATAGATGTAGATGTCTATGGGCTACAGCAACCACTTACCATCAGGTGGACTGTGTGCTCGCTTGTCACCTTTATTCTATATATATAAAAAAAGGCTCTGACTGAGCCGGCGCAAACCGGTTTGTACCCTGGCGGAGCGTCGGTGAACCTGTCGGTGAGAGCTCACGCACACATAGCTGCGATATGTGTGGGTGTACCCGAAGCGAGACGTTTGTATGTAGCTTCCCCTCTGGTCGGTTTCTTTACTCATGTGCTGCTAGGTATGGGAAACTTAGTTAGGGTCTGCAGAATCTAATATTCCTACTATATTCAAGTGCAGCCAGGTACTCGAGCTATCGAAGAGAAACTAGGTTATATTTAAACAATCCACTACGTGTCGGTACATTATGTTTGTTTTATGGAATTATATTACATGGGTTTATGATATTATTAACAGACGTCGGCAAATTATTCCACTCTATATCTTTCTATTCTTTACCACCACCTGATTGTCCGATGGTGGTCAGGGGAGGAAGGAATTAAAGCATGTAATTTATGATTTTGACGGCTCCGTGGCGCAGTGGCTTAGCAATCAGTTGTTGCGCTGGGGGCTGCGGGTTCGAATCCCGCACGGAACAAGTATTTGTATGGCCTACAAATAATTGTTCCGGGTCTGGATGTTTGTCCTTGTGCAATTTATGTTTGTAAACTGCCTCCACGACACAGAAGAAAATCCTAGTGTGGGGGTAACGTTTTTAAAAAAAATTAGAAAAATAATTCAGTAAAAAAGTGTTTTTGGTTCTCTTAACGAAACAAAACTCTCACCATACAAAACAAAGCAGCATGTAGCTACTGTTAGACCGAAGGAAAGTATTGATAAACATTAGGATTATACAATAAGCCTTTTTACAAGGTGGTATAGCCACGCTGTAAAGCGGTGAAGTATTAATACTCACTTGTACACAGTTACCAGTAGAAGCGTTCCAGATTCTCGCAGTCTTGTCAGCGGAAGCAGTTAGCAGACACCCACCAGCTGGACTGAAGCATACCTGGATATCAACAATTCCGATAATTGAGTATATCTATACAAATAACTAAATTGAAGTGTCTGTTTGTAATGTCGAAATCGCAGCTTTTTACTATATGCATATGAAAGTATATACGGCACTTATAACAAAAACACGATTTTAAACATTTTGTCTGTCTGTTTGTTCCGGCTAATTTCCGAAACGGCTGAACCGATTTTGACGGTACTTTCACTGGCAGATAGCTGATGTCATAAGAAGTAACTTAGGCTGTTTTTATTTTAGAAAAAGAATTAGGCTTCCGCGCAAAAAATTAAAACCCATGAAATCCAATCGTAATAAATTACACGCGGGCAAAGACGCGGGGAACAGCTAGTCTATTTATAAAAAAAGACTGCGGTGGCTGAGCGCTAAGACTTACTTAGCGGTCGGCCTCCGCCGAGTCTATTCCACCGGTGGTGTGTTTTCCTAGTATAGTGGTGTTGGGAGTAGTGGTTGGATTTTAATAGGTTGTAACGGTAATACGGATTTTAGCTAATTAATTTGTAATATCTATAATATAATGGATTTCCGCAAAGTAACACTTGATTCTATTAATTACTTGCTGTTCCCCGCGACTTCCTCCTTATAACATCAGCTCTCTGCCATTGAAAGTCACATCAAAATCGGTCCAGCCATTTCAGAGATTAGCCGAAACAAACAGACAGACAGACAAGAATGTTAAAAATTGTTTTGTTCTTATTAGTACCGTATATATTTTCATATGCATTTAATAAAAAAATGTTATTTTGACATTACAAACAGACACTTCTTTTATTTATTTGTATAGAATATTTATAAAAACTTTTCTTCTTCATGACCACCAGCTCATAAAGTCCACTGATGGACATGGCTGTCCCCTCGTACCGCTTGACTTCACGATCGCAGTATCTCTTAAGTTTGATACTGCTGATCCCCGTCGCCGTAATTTAATGACGGCTAATACTTTTCTACCCACCAGATGTCGCTAGTTGACACTGAGGTAAAGTTTTGGTTACACAATGTCATTTAATTGAGAAGTTAGTTTTTAATAAAAGTTTATCAGTTTCTAGAGTATTATATTAATACACAAAACAAAGCGTCAGTGGTTTGCTCCTTAAGTTTTTGCACTTTTTTAACTTTTTTTTAAACATTTCTACTTTTATGAATATCTGTGGTTTGGTTTGTTTATTTTTAATCTTATTAATATAAAATATAGCTAATAGTGCAGAAAAAACATTACCATTTACATTTTTCGAACAAATTAACTTCCCCGCTATGAAATCCATAGATTACTGTATATATACTAGAGATGAATGATGAATGATGATGATGATGAAATCTGTCACATATTATACCTCACTTTTAAGTGGCGCCGCCCTGGTGGCAGAAAAAGTCGTGGATTTCAGATGTTTTACGTTGGACGTTTGAAGCGAGATGAGAAGAGACGGAAGATGAGAAAGAGAGAGAACGTTATACCGCCATCTTTAGGTAGCCTATAAGTTCTTTCTGGCATTTTCCATAGTTGATTCTTTTCTCTTACGACACCCACGGGATGAAATGTCGTAAGGATTCACTTACACCGCCAGTTACCAATTTCTTTTTCTATTTCCTTATTTTTTTATTACCACGTAACAAGTCCACAGCTGGACGTTAACCTCGTCTGGTGTAGAATGGATTTGTTACTATCGCCACATTGGCCAGACAGAGTATTTCGTATCCAACGCGAGAACAAGTGACGAAAAGTTGACCGTGTGCAAACCCCATATAAAAATAGTTGTTTCTTAAAACTTTATATTAAATGAAGATATCGCAACAATTTGTTTAGATACGGGTCAAGTGTTTAAGCAATAAAACTTGGAAAACCTAATGGAAATCTATTTAGTAATTTATTCGTGATGCGCGCGCAACTGCAAACCTCTACCATCTACACAAATAAATAAAATTGAAGTGTCTGTTTGTAATGTCAAAAGAACAGCTTTTTACTAAATGCATAATATGAAAGTGTATACGGTACTTATACCAAAAACACACTTTTTAAAATTTTTGTCTGTCTTTCTGTCCGTCTGTCCGTCTCTTTGTTCCGGCTAATCTCCGAAATAGCTGAACCGATTTTGACGAGACTTTCACTGGCAGATAGCTCATGTTGTAAGGAGTAACTTAGGTTACTTTAATATTAGAAAAATAATTGGGGTTCCGCGGAAAAAATTAAAACCCATGAAATCGTAGTAAATTCCACGCGGGCGAAGTCGCGAGCGACAGCTAGTTTTATTTATATAGGCTTGTCACGAGATCTATATGCTATCTATATGAAGCCAAGAGATTATTCTAGCATTTTGCAGGATAGCGGACAAGATCATATTGTACGAGTGTATGCGCAAACATAGGTGCACATGCGGGTTTTATTCACTCGCTCTCATAGTTCGATGGGATGCCGATCCGACACGACTGGAGAGATTAGGCTTAGGACCAACGGCTACACGAGCTTCCCGAAGCAAGGGTGTTAAACAGCGCCAACTTCCAGACTCAGGGTTGATATTGTTAACTTCTAGGCAGAAAACTCACCGATTTCTTGCCCGATTCGAACCCGGAAGCTCGCGATCAGCAGCTGCCTTTATGACTACTAGATCAATTTGAAGTGGTACTAATGGCTCAGCCGTATCGGAAGAATCGATAACCGGCAGCTACGTACTGGCGAGCAAAGTGTATTGCGGCCCTCCATTAGAAGACGTGGCGATCTGGTAAGACTTGCAGAAAGTCGGTGGATGCAAGTGACTTTGGATCACAGAATGGGTGTAATGATGATTATGAAACGATAATCATAGATGCTTAAAATCAGCTATCAATCGTTTAAAATCGATGATGCAATAAGTAAGACATATTAACGCAGATGACGTGAACATATAATAAGATATTTCAACATAGATGTCACGAATACAAGTGTGACTCATATAATGGATAGGAATATGACGTTACATAAAACCTTAACCAAGAAGGTGAGTTACTTTGGTATATTCTTTTAAAATTTCCTCATAAACAAGTCCAATGTTAAAACAGTAATTGAAAAACCCGACTGCTTATAGGTTTTCTGAAAAGAGAAATATTTTATACTCTATGTCACTTGTCGCTTCCTCAACAAGACTGAATCTAATAGAAAAAAAAATTGAAATGCTTGTACATTTGTATGATATATGCTTGAGTAGTCATTGAGCTCTAATAAATTTAGGATTAATGCTTTTCCACCATATTACACTGTAACAGAACTCTCAATTCTATCCACATCATTCAGATGGTTTGCAGTCCACTACCGTACATTTTACGAGGAATTATTTGCCACATGGCACACACAACGGTTTTTTCGAACTGATACTACTTAAGGAAATAGCTTCCATTCTAAAACAATCTGTGATTGGTAACGAATATGTGATTCTTCCGGTGTTGCAGATGTTCATGGGCGGCGGTGATCACTTACCATCAGGTGAGTCGCATGCTAGTATGCCTCGTCCCTAAATAATATTTATGGAATTAAAATTTTACAAAATATAGTTTTTACTGCCTGTACTGTTACGTATTCTGTACTTTTACTAAATTAAGTTAATATTTATTTCTGACATTTTTCTTAATTAGCTTAATATTTTGCACCCGCGTCATTGTTATAAGCAATTAAAGCCTTAACCTGTACAGGCAGTCGTGGCCGAGTGGTTAAGGCGTCTGACTCGAAATCAGATTCCCTCTGGGAGCGTAGGTTCGAATCCTACCGGCTGCGAAACTTTTTTTATCTGATTATATCGAAATAACATCAAATTACGTTTTAATCCAGTTTAATTTTAATTTTGAATATTTTGTCACTGTCACAAACATTTATATTGATGCAATTTATTTCTAAGCTTTACCATTAATTTCTTCAAGTTTTATTTTTATGCATGGTTATGCACAAAAATTATTATAACTCAAAGATTCGTAGCTATTTATCTATTAATCTATTTATATTTTACAAGGTTTTGCTCGTGCCATTACACGCAGCTCTCCCCATGCAGAAAAGTATAAGTGCTGTTGTTTTATAGTTCTGGGCATAGGTCGTGGCTATGTCTTCACCATACGTGATAAGCCCATTGTTCCGTTTCCGTTTACGCCAGATGTAATATGCCTACACCGATGATGGAGAGCGGCGTCAAAGGTTCAAAAAGTGTGGTAGAACAATCGCCAATCCTAGCGTGTCATTTTTGATAAGTCGTCCCTACAACGGAAGGGGCGGGCAGTGAAAAAGTAACGTTACCGCGTCACCAACCTATACCTAGATTAGAGCCTTAGTTTTTGAAGTAAAAATTCTTTAGTCTGGACTTTTAGACATCAATCACTAATAAAATACTGTGATTAAATGTATATGAAAGAATATATAACAAAAAAACAACTATTAAAATTTTTGTCTGTCTGTCCGTCTGTCTGTCTGTTTGTTACGGTTAATCTCCGAAATGGCTGAGTCGATTTTGACCGGACTTTCACTGGTAGATAGCTGATGTTATAAGGAGTAACTTACTTACTACTATTTTGGAAAAAGAATCGGTGGTCCGAGCAAAAAAAATATCGTCATAAATTGTTATAAATTGCACGCGGTGGAAGTCGCGGGAAGCAGCTAGCTTAATATAAAATAAAATATAATTTAGTATTAATATTAATTAATACTTAGTACTTAATATCCTAGGCTAAATTCAACCGAATATTCGAAGGCGAAATAACGAATATTAATTTGTAACAATGTTACATCGATCACTAATAAAAAACTAGATACACAATCCCATGCAAAAGTTCTCTAAAAACTGTCGCTAATTGTTTTGACGTAATTCTACTTGAAATAAATATACATTAATGTAAATTCAACCTTAAACGCATTGCCTAAAGTTGTATTCACAAAGCTACGTACAAATTAAAAGCGCACCCAAATATTCGAGTGGGCGCTCATTCGGTAAGGACATTTTTGTCAATAATTGTGTATGTAGTTTTTTATC